AGCTAGTGACGGGTACCAGGTAATGTTGCCCTGCAATAAAGACTGTTTGGAGTTGTTAAATGATAATCACTAGGCAGGTTTGAGTCGCCTACATCGTCTCCTCAAACGACTTTCGAGTCAAGAAGGTCTGCTTCAGCGTTATGACGTAACAATCCGCCAATACATGAAGCTAGGACACGCTGAAGTAGTACCGACCGGCCAGCACTGCCATCCTCAGACTGCAACGTAAAGCATGAAAACATGCCACATCGAAAAATATATTAAAGAAACGTCTACCTCTACAAAGTTTTCGGTGGTGCCTGACGTTTCATTTCTGAAAAGAGCACTTCTTCGAAAAAGGACCTAATCTCAATCCAATAATCCTTCAAATCCTTCTGCGTCTTCGAGTGCACGTGATGGCCCTAACAGCAGCTATCGAGAAAGTATTTCTACAAATTGGAGGTAGAGAGGAAGATCGCAACGCATTCCGGTTATTGTGCTTTGAAGACGAGCTAATTTCTTAGATGAAATTTTAGACCACTCAGGACTGGCGGATGACAAGACTTCCTTCTGAAGCAATCTACAGTCCATTTACGTTGTATGCCGCTACACAAGATCACCTGAAGAACATCACTGGTGAACAAGAGAGCGTTGCTAAGATGTTACAAAGCTTATTTTACCAGGACGACCCCTTAGTGGGTGCAGATACGCTGGAAGAAGCGACCAAATTGTACGAAACGTCATAGATCATAATGAACGATGCAGGTATGAAGCTAAGAAAATGGCCGCCTAACGAGGCTCAACTGCAACAAACTATGAATGAAACGGAGGCCGATGTGACAATAGATGATATATACAGAAGGTTCACTATGATCTGGAAGGTACCGGGGATGACATGGGAAAAGCTCGACGATTGTTTCAAATTTGCCATGCACTCTATGACTTAATTTCTACATAACAAACGGGACACTAAAAGGTATGCACCTCAAGCGGCCTCACGAGATTTCGATCTGATGGGATTGATTCCAAATAAGAGGAAAGCTTATCTTCAAAAGTCTGTGGAAACTTGGACTAAAAAGGGACAAAGAGCTTCCAGAGCACGAGAGAAGAGGGACGAATGGTGCACTCAACTGGCTCAGCTTTCCGGGATCACAGATCAAAGACACGTCAAGGATGAAACTGACAAAAAGACAAAGAAACACAGCTACACATCTTTGTTGACGCAGGTACGCAAGCTTATGAACCATGTGTTTACATACGATTAGAAACTCAAGGCAGGCAAGTTGTGACGGCTCAAGCGACAAATAAGTCCAGGGTAGTGCCAATCAAAACATTAACGCTACCACGTTTCGAACTGATAGGAGCTGTTGTTTGAACAAGGCTCCCAGAATACCTGTGCAAGACATACCTTAATATTCTCTCTCAATATACCATGTGGACGGATTCCACTGCGGTATTGAGTAGGATTCAAGTTCAGTAAACAGATGGAAGCCTTTCATCAGACATCGGATATTACAAACCCAATCGCAAAGCGTTTTTGAAAGCTGGAGGCACTTCCCATGAACTGATAACCCGGGCGGATCTACTCATAAGGGGAAAATTAGCTGTAACACTTCGTACAGCCCTATTTGGTGTAAAGAACCTAGCTGTCTTGTTCAGGATCCAGCTGAATGGCCCCAAAACGTCTTCTCCTCAAATACTCACTTAGAGCTCGAGAAGAGTGAGCAGAGCCCCAGTAGGGTATACCTCCAAACAATAAGTTTTGAAGTGGCGACAATTTTTGACATCACAAGGTTCAGTAGGTTGTCTAGATTTCTTCGAGTAACAGCCAGGATGTTAAGCTTTGCTAACAGCACCGCAAAGCGAGAAAGAAGATGACACTTGAATGCGGCAGAATATACCGCTGCCAAACAATATTGGATAAGGCAAGTCCAAAACGAAGCCTTCGAAAGGGGTGTACACTTTCTGGTCAGAAACCATCAAGTGCAGAGGAACTCAACCCTGGCTGATCTACACCCTTTTCTGGATGAACATCGCATGTTTAGGGTAGCAGGGAAGCTACATGAGCTAAATACTCCTAGAGCGATAAAACACCCTAGCATCCTAACAAACGACACGAATTTTACAAAACTGATTGTCATGAATACACCTGACCAGTTGCTCCATAGATGTGTGTCCAGCGCAATTACCAGCATTGTGGGTACTTCGAGCTCGACAGTTAACCAAGAACATCATCTGGAACTGCCATAAGAGTCGTAGGTTCAGCACTAAACGTAATCAAGTTCCATTCGCACCATTTCAAGCTGATATAATTAACAATACAAAACCTTTCAAGGTAACTTGAATGCATAATGCAGGACCGCTGTATACAAAAAAAAAAGCCGGACGAAGAGATGAACGGTGCTAAAGCGTACAGAGCGCTACACTGTTAGCGCGAACAATCGATCGCCGTTTTTTTTTTTTTTTTTTCATTTTTTCTCTTTAAAACCAAGGGATGCCATCCAAGTTATTATTGCTACGGAAAGAGCTCGTTTAGTTTTATATGTAAGCGATAACATTTCGTGCTCGCTAATACTATTTAGAAGTAAAATGCGAAAATGCGCCATGTCCTGTTCGCGCTAACAGTGCCGCGATGTGTACATAGTCCTGTTCGCGCTAACAGTGTCGCGATGTGTACATAGCCCTGTTCACCTGTGCTACAACAAGAGCAGTTCATTTGGAATTATCATCCGATCTTTCTACAGACGCCTTTCTTTTGGCATTTCGACGTTTTATTTCGAAGAGAGGAATGCCAAACACGATATTCTCCCAGAATGCTAAAACATTTAAGAAGGCATCAAAATACTTGAGGAACACCTTCAAAAGCCTGAATTACCCAGACTTCACTTTCTCCCTTGCTGAATACAAAGTACGATGGAAATTTAATATTGAAAACACTCCTTGCTGTGACGGTTGGTTGGAACGCCTGGTACATTCTGTGAAGACAACCCTAAGGAAAGTGTTGGGAAGATGCAGACTCAGATTTAAAGTGATATTAACTGCACTCTTTGAAGTAGAGGCTATCATTGATTCTAGGCCCTTTAACATACGTCAGCTCTCAAGCTAACAAACCCACACCACCTTGCCAGCTGAATTTCTGGTGGGACAAAGTTTGACTGTTCTTACTAAATTACCTGCACAGACAAGTTTCCAGCGTCCCACAGGCACCGGCAACCAATTCAAAAGCTTTAATACCGGCAACATCTGGTGGATCACTTTTGGATAAGGTGAAAAAATATGGACACTACGATCCACCCACCACTACCCAAATATCAAATCCAAAGTTTTTTTTTTTTTTAATAGGCGGCGTGGTACTTCTTTAAGAAGAAACTACGCTGTATATTGGGAAAAATGGTAAAAGTCAAAGGCATCATGAAAGCAAAAGATGATCAAGGGCGAGCGTGTCTTGTCAGCGACCAACACGGAAATGTCTTTCGGAGACTAGTTCAAAAACTATATCTTCGTGTGATATATCCCTCTTCTCTGTCTCGGGAGGGTGTACAGAATCAAGAAGGCAAAGACGAAGCGAGTGATTAAGACGAAGTAGTAGAAAGGTTAGGGCAGTTGTAGAATGACTAATTAAACCGCACGTGAATTATTGCTTGGCCTCTTGACGTTCTACTTCTTAAACGTTAAGGATCCTTTAAAGTTACCTCAAATTTTCTTTATGGCGTGTCCCAACCCCTTTAAGCTTACCCCATCTATAAGATATCTCTTGTAATATTGCGGGCGACTGCACTTGACAAATATATGCACTTTACCACATTGTACATGTTATGTAATGCAAGATGTTGTCTCCTGAACCCTAGGCGCCGGCCAATCACGGTTTACGTGGACGCACGTGATACCGTGAATGGCCGTTGCCCAGTTGCATTCGGTCATCGTACCGATGTGCCAAAAGCGTGAAACACCTGTGAGCAAAAACTGCCACCGCCGAGCGGCATAACCATAACAGCCGTTGCTTGCGCTGAGGCGTGGTGGGGTGGCATCAGCAGTGGTTGTTATGGTCATGATGCCCGGTGGCGCGCCGCAACGCGATTTTTGCTCACATGTGTTTCACACTTAATGCAACGTACGATATTATCTCGTGTACATGTCTCGTCCTTTAGCTGCCGTCACCACCGGCCGCGCCGCATGCCACTGTTATATTTGCCGTATTCTGGTGGCCCATCGAAATAAATACCTTTATAACATGTTTCTACTTTAACGGAGGATAAATTTGTATCTGTGGTTTTTCACAATAAGGCTAAAATAAATAGCAGTGATTTTTCACCAATTTCACTAGCCTGTTTTATGCGCAAAACTTCGCGCTTATTTTATTATTATTATTTTTTTACGTTGGAGATATAGTTCTACTTTATTTACAGGAAACCTACCCTCAAGTTCGATATTTAAAGAAAGGAGGTTCAGTAACCTCTCAAGTTCGAGGGCGGAATAGATATAACTTTCCGTGCAATCATTTTCGCACCGCAAATGCATTCTTTATTGTAACAACTTTATGCGCTAATCGCTTTCTCAAAATCGTTTTTTTTTTACTCAATATTTACCGGACATGCTCCCTGTAGGACAAATTAATCGGTCGTCCATGTGCTCTCCGCGAAAGTTAACTTGCATCCATATTTAGAGCGTTAGGATGATTACTGTGACAGCCACAACCGGTTCAGGCTAATCGAGTGCCAACGGTGTACCAAATGATCTTACGACTAGGTGCAGCAATACCGGAGTGCAAGGTAAAGAGACACACTCGCAATTTACAATTGATCCAACAGCTTGAGCCTGTCTTAATGAACAACTTTAAAATGAAATTAAATATTAAAAAATCCTACAACTAAAAAATAGAAAAAAAAAAGGAGAAAACGCCATATTCTCCAAAGTGAGTTGATATTAAACATAGTAAACAGCCTCAGGTTCCAACAGAAGCTGCTAAAAGCATTTGTAGCATAAAGGAAGTATGGAGCGTTTTAAAAACCAGTCAATTTTACCTCCTTTTCGTGCAACGTTGTTTCAGGAGGACTGCAGAATTGTCCTGACTTCGTTGGCATCGGGGCTTTCTCTGAAAGAAAGAAAACAAATTTCCTTTGCCACATGCTCATTTTAAACGCTAAAACTCATTTCCGAAAAACCGACAAAAAAATTGCATGAAATTCAAAGCACACCAGCTAGGCGCACGTGAAGACTCGCGCTGCAGAACTCAGAGATTCTGGATTCAGAAACTGCGGGTGGCCTAAATAAACAATATGAAGGCACTGAGAGGAATGCTCGTGAACGCCGAAAAATAAGACCTGCAGTAATTCCTTACATTCACGCGATTTCTCACAACTCTAAGAAAGTTGCCAAACGCTACGACGTTTTGCCATTTTTTCAGTCCCTTAGAAGTTCTCCGCGTTATCCAAAAAAATCAATGCCTCAGAGAAAGAGAGAGGGATGAATGATATACCAAGCAGAGAAACAAGGTTTTTGAATGCAAAGCAAAACTGGGTCAGACTGAGCGCTGTATGAATGGCAGCTAAAAAGAACTTGTAGCCTCCTGAACTCCTTAGCTGTTCCTTTTTCGTTTTTTTATTCTAAATTGTCCCCTCGTTCTTTTTTTTTTTTTTTTTTTTTTGCACGTGCTGTTTAGGCTGCTTGTGTCTTCACAATAGACCGATCTCACCAAGCATTCGGTACAGTGTACTAGAATACTTGGGTAGTGTTGGGACCGAAGGGGCTCGCCTGAAGCGCGTGGTATTGATCGCGACAGGTGTCGCGTCCGGCGCCTTATCCGGAAGGTGTGCGCATGCGCGGCTGCACGCGCGAAAATATGAATTTTTGGTGCCGCTTTGGTGGAGTGCATGTAGGATTTCTGATAAAGCTACGACCTGCCAGCGGTCGTACCGCGGCATCAATTACGCTGCGGCACGATCGTTAGCAACATGATGCTTCAATGTATTGGACGGTACAAGCTAGATTACCCTTCCTTTACATAAAAACAATTGCGACTTTAAAGAAGCGGTTTTGGTTTGTCGGATAGTGAGCATTTTAAATGAAATGCCCATTTCCTTGGTCGCAAATGGCAAACATTAGATATTTCAAAGGAATATCTAAAACACGGAAGCGGTTTTTTTTTTTTTTTTTTCCTATCTTATTTTATAACGGAACGAAACAGCACATACTAAAGTTCGAGATTGTTTTAGTATGTTTTTAATACCCCAGGTTAACTTCTCTGTCTTCTTTTCTGCCCGTCTTCTTTTTCTTCACCTTAATCAGCTCGCTTCACTTGTCACTCATTCTTGTGTCCATTTATGCGACGAACCACCCAAGCGACGGTCGCAAAGGGGTGAGAATCTTCTATTTCTTCGTGGCTGCCACGACCATCCGAGAATCACCCGACGTTCACTTGTAAGAAATGGCTTATAAGCCGTGACAATTTTTATCACGCGTTTTAACATTTAACTTAAGTCCAAAAACTGAGACAATGTGGGCTGAACAAGTAATGCTTTATAAGATTCAAAGAAAACAAGAAACTATTTTACATCATTTTGAGCAGAAAACATGAGCACACGTAAATCAGACAAGGAAAAAGTTGTAATAGTTTACAGCACGGCACTGAAATAATGGCTACAATGTGCAGCGCATACATGGTTACAATATGCAGCGCATTATCCTCTTGAGGGTAAACCATCTGAAACCTACACGCTCACAACAATACATTTAACCGACAGCTGCTTTCTGACAACCAGGTAAGTCTCGCCTGAGCTGGATATTCGAAGGGAAACACCCATGGTTCCACAGGGGGCGTATCTGGTTCACGCAGACATTCAGGGTGTTTTTGTTTTATTCTTTACAGAACTTTACATATTTTGCAAAAAAAAGAATGTGGCAGATATGTGGATGCCGTCTTTCCTTATATCTGTAGGGTTCGGTGGACAATGAATGGGTAAATAATAACCGTTGCAATGTTTAGTAATGAACCAATATCTGTTAGTTAACTTGTTTATTAACGGCTTAATTTGCCATGGTGCAATCGCAGTTTTAAAAGGAGTCATTATTAAAGGCAAATACAATTTCGACAATTCGCGAAAAGGCAACGAGGTTCGCAAAATTAATCGTAAAAGTTTGCCTTTTTTAGCTTGATTCAGAAACGGCGTTATGAAAATAATACGTAGAATAGTAAATTAGTCGTCTTGATCTGTGGCGCCGGCGAGTCCACCGAAGAAACGCTGTCGAGTTAGTGACGAGGGGACAGAAACAACCTGCGTCATTATTCTACGCATCAATATCAGCACAACCTCATTCGCGCTTTCAGCGCGCAGTTTTTTTAATTAAGTGAAGAAAGGCAAAATTTTAGCGATGAATATCTTAGGACAGAACGAGCGGGTTGGTAGAGATAATTAAGCTTGAGGAAGAAACGAAAATGGACGGACAGACACAACAAAAACGAACGCCTTGTTACTTTCCCTCAAAGCTCGTTGTTTGTTCGCGAACTTTTTAAATTAAGTTGGCCTTTAATGATGGCTCCCTTTAAAGCTGCAATTGCAATATGGCCCTTTAAACATTTCATTAACCCTTTGCCTACCGCAAAAAATAAAAAAAAATAAAGATTTGAAAATACCGATTTTTTTTACGTGCCCTATACTCTGTTTTACAAGCGCGAGCTCCTTGCTCTAGGGCACATCTCGGCGGCACGAGCTCCCGTGCACCAAGGGCAGCTGCCAGCGCTATGAGCTCGCGCTTCTAGCCTTCGCTACATCCACCGCTCAAAAAGAAAAAAGAAAAAAAAGAAAAAAAAAAGGCGGGCTGCGCGAGCCGGATAACTCGACTACAGCGCCGCCACGAACTGTCAATACACGCGGCCTCACGAGCTCCCGTTGCCGAGCCGCTCCGGTCCCAACACTACCCAAGTATTCTAGTACACTGTACATACGGTGCATGCGCGAGGCCGCCATAACTTTAGCTGACAGGAAGCAATCGGCAGTGCACGAGAATGTTCGTGCCCTGCACACGCGGAGAGCTCCAGCGAGGTTGTCGCACGCGCAGAAAGACAACCGCTCATTCACACTGGAAGCGGATCCGCGATCGCAAAGCGGTTGCGAACGCGGTTGTATAAATATCCAGTAGAATTGCACGCACACTCGATGACATCAAGTGCGCGTGCAATTGTACTGGATCTTTATACAACCTCGTTCGCAACTGCTTTGCCAACGCGGATCCGCTTCCAGTGTGAATGAGTGGTAAAGTTCTCTCGGTGCATTGCGGCAGCGGTGGCGCAGTCAAACTAGCTGGTGCGATCGGTCCATTTTTTGCCATCCTTAAAAATGCTTCCTTTTATTTATGTGTGTATGATTGATTGCTAAGTGACCCTAATGAATAACTCTATAGAAAAACAGAGGTCTCGTCAAGCTTCGTGCCATTTTACCTCGATCTCTCTTTCAGATGAAAACCCGGAGAATATTTCAATAATTCAGCTCACTTCAAAAAGGGAAATCAAAGCACTTACCTGGTCTCATGCAAGTAGCATTATAACATTTTCCAGTAATGCTTAAAGGTGAGTAGTCTCCACTTTGTGAGAGTTGAACCTTGTGGAACAACAAAAAAAATACTGAAAATCACACATTATTTTGTACATAATGACAAGGTCACTGAGAAGTTGAGAACGGCGAGGGAGGGCTTCAGGTGTCCAGCGACCAGCCCGAGCTTCCTACCTTCGACAATGCTTCGACGTATCGTACTCCTCGAGCGCTCGCGCGCAGTCAAAGCATGGCAGATGGCATGGAACACGTGCTGGGGACCGGATGTTCAAAAAACACGCCCTGCCGTTTTCATTCTGTTAATAACTATTAAAGCTTTTCAGGCGATTTTTTACGAAAGGAAGCATTCACTCCATGCTGACCGCATATAAAGCCTTGTAAAAACATGTTTTAAACTTATTAACAATAAGTACCCATGTAAATACCCATCTTTAAAAAAAAATAAACTTTATAACATTTCTAAAAGATCATGCAATTTTTTGTGTCTCCAGGCTTTTATTTAAAGATTAATTTTCTTCTCTTTTTTCTTCTTTTTTGTGGTGCATAACGCGACAGCGTTCGCGCGAAAACGACGTTGCTGATAATTTTGCTCGTAAAGGTTAGTGGCTATTATCAATAATAATGCCTACGTTGCACCACAAGATTAGCGCATGCTGACTCCACTATAGTAGATTTATTACAAACCTCCAGCTGTAAATGTGAAAACAAAAAAAAAAACGGCGGGACATCGCGCGTTCGTGTTTTGTGTTGTTCTGCACCAATGAATAATTTGCTTGCTTTGCAGTATGTCATAATAAATTTAAAATTACAGCTTTTTTTTCCGCCACACATTGACTGTTGCCAGGAACTTAACAAATTTAAACTCCCGGCAAAAATGCACTGTCACAAACAGACCCCTAACAGCCAACGGGGTGTGTCACGATTGAATGCTGGAAGTATAGGTGGATGGCGGTTGTCCTTTTGCACCTGAGAGTGCCTTGCGCCAGCTAGATTGATGTTATTTCAAAAATTACCAATTCAATCAAAATGAACGCTTCTCCTTGATTTTCTTTAGGATACCTCTAGCCATATCTAAGTTTGTTCTACCTTTGGCAGGCATTTGTACCAGTCCTCACCGAATCCCGGGGGTCTGAGGAATTCTAATTGTTTACACAATAACATTGGTTTCCAGAGCCCTTACACTGCATAGTAGAATGCAATTGAGTTTCTATTCTCTCCGCACGTATAATGCCTGTTGTGTTAATCTTCTAGTATTTGGCTGTGTACGCACGCTTTCCCAGCACTCCTGCCCCAACCTCAAACGATAACTTCCGCCCTAGAACTATGGAATATCACTACCTTCTTTTTCATATTGATTTCGATTTCTCTGTAAGTCTACAGGATAGCGCCATGGCTAAAGAATGCACATCTAGGCTCTCCGAACTGAATGGTTTAATATGAACGCAGTACGGGTGTCTGCAAGGCGTTGGTGGTGTGGTGGCGTATGTCGCCACAGGCGTGCGACAGGTCTCTCGAGAGTAGCCTAGTTGTTAGCGTTCGTTCAAGAACCAATAGAAGAATGGAATCAAAGTATTAGTCACTTGGTCTAGCAAAACAAAATTTAAATACCCAGACAAAGTGAGCAGCGATTGACAACAGAAGCGGTTGCGGTATTGAAAGATGTGCTTTATGATCTTACTTAAGTTGATGTGCTTTCGGATATTTTCTTTATCAGTTTTGTTTTTAGTACAGTAGTTGTAGGAGATGCACTTTAGGAGGTGAATGTAGAGATGAGAAAATTTTGTCGCCAAAAACCGCCTTGAGCCGTCATCGGTTCAAGCGGCGACATTTCTTTCTGGGTAACTACCCAATTCTGCATTAGCGATTTCCGTCAGTTACGCACTCAACGTCGATCTGTTCAGGGTATGTGGATTATATATAGGGCTTCGTGCCACTTCCGGCCGCCATGACCGGGGGAGAAGGATACTTCCTCTTATCCTATGTTTACCTGTTTGGGTGGGTGCTCGACGACTCCAACTGCGTGAGCGCTACGCTCTGGGAATGCCCCTGCGTTGTTCGTTTAAGCTATTGATGCGCACCGGTATCAGCAAAATGCCGCAAGTGAACTTCTTTCGATTATTTCAAAGGGAGTGACGCCAACGACACCGCCGAGCCTGTACGATAGCAGGACGCCGGCATTGGGGGCATTCGGTAGCGGCTCCAGGAGTCAAGGAGTCAGCGCTCCTTCCACTATAAAAATAAAAATTAAAATAGGCGGCGAAAACCGACTTCTGGTGCACGTTACTCCGAGTCTTCGGAGTCAGGCTCTCGTGCACCAAGTACGATGATGGTGCAAGAGGAATGAAAGGAGCGCAACATGACGTAATTCCGGATCGCTGAGGAAGTTCCGCTGCTAAAACAGAAAAAAAAAATGGTTGTGTAAGCTGCGTCGACTCCGTCGCGGGTCTGCGGTTTGCTCGCTCTTGTTAATGAAAAGTGCGCAAGGTAAGACGAATAACCCGTTCAAATTCCTTTTCCAACTAAGGCTCTTTTCTGAAAGTGCATTGGACCGTACTTTGTTTCGTTTGAATACGCTAATAAACAACGTAAACGTTCATTTGACGCCCCGATTTGATCGCCGTTGCACGGAAACTCGGTGAATATCAACGATAGTCCTGGCCGTGCCGAACAAAGCAAAATAGGGTACGAACGCGGCTTTGGTAGCCAGTTGGACACTCACGCAGAGCATGATCCCGATTAATGTTTGGTTTGCGTAGCTAAATGTTGGCTGACGCTCGCTCCGGCCGACAAAACCTTGATCGCCGAGCGCGGCCGAACTTCTCGTGTGTATACGAATACATTTTATAGGAAGTTTGTAACGCAAGACAGAAGAAACTATGGCCGTACAAAAGTGTCGCAATCGGCGACGTAGATTCGCCGAGCTCTATATTTTGTGTGTGCTGACGACGTTTTTGTCGGTTTTTATAACAGTAGCAGCCTTTGCACCATCCTGCGAAGGGCTTGATCGCGTTGGATCCCTTCAAACAGCGGCGCTGATGTTTGCAGTTACTCGCTTTTTTTCTTTAAGGACCTTGTCAAGACTTCTTCAACACCGGCGTCAAATAAAAGCGATCGTGCTCGGCGTTACCTGCTTCCATTTTATTCGGAAACCTTCTGGCACAGGGGAGGAGGCGGAGAGAGAGAGAGAGGTGGCGTGAGAGAAGCAGGGGAGGTTGTTCTAGCGGGAATGCTGAACTGGTTCCCCATACAAAGAAGCAGAGAGAAAGGAAAGAAGGGGGATAAAGAAAGGGGGAAGGAAAATAGAGAAAAATAAAATAAAGACGTGAACCCGCTAAGAGTTAATCTCGAGTTATTTCACAGGCGGTTTGCGACACCGGATTCGTCGAGGAAGTTCAGTAGCAGGTGTTGTATCCCTTAGCGAAAAGTCGGTCAAAATCAGTACACTCGAAGTGTACTGAAGTATACTAAAAGTATACTTTCAGTGCGGTCTTTGTACTGATTGTACGCTTTAAGTGTACTTAAAGTACGCTTCCAGTAAAAATGGCGGTGGACTGAAAGTATACTCGTCCGTACAAAACTAGTACATGTAGTAGAATCGTAGTGCCCACGGTAAAAAGTAGTTCAAAATCAGTATACAAGAAGTGCACTCAAGTGTACTCAAGGCATGCTTTCAGTGCTTGCAGTCGGTGTACTCAAATTATAATAACGGGTATATATATATATATATAGTGCGATTTTTAACATCAACACACTAAAAACGCGATAGATAGGCCGATGCCGTTTTCACAGAATATTTGTGGTGCTCGGTGGACATTAAATGAGTAAATAAACGTCACAGTACGTTGTCTAATTAGCTTCTTTAATTGGCAGTGTAACTGACCATGTTGAATTTTCAATTTTAAAGGGGCTATAATAAACTCTAGCCCAACTGAAACAATTTGCGAAAAGGTGACGAGTTTTGGTTTATTCATAGCTAAAACTCTGCCTTTCGTCGAATGATTAAAAACAGTGCACTGGACAGAGCGCAGGATTCTATTCTTACGTATTCCCTTCAGTCGAACCGTTGGAAGTATGATGCTGGAGCATCCACCAAAGGCACGCTTTCAAAAGAGTGCAACTTCGTTCATGCTGAATGCGACACCACTTTATGAGGGTTGTACCTTCACTAGAAAATTAAATAATGCATAGAACTCCAGTATGAGAAGTTCTCGCTAACACAAACAAACATGCCATCACTGATATGCCATGTCAAAACCGCTAATTTCACTCTCCACTTTGCCCGCCCCTGCCGCGCGTGGTTCTTGAATCGAGAGAAAAAGTGCGAAATTTGATAAATAAATATCTTAAAGCCCCTTGCTGTTTCGGGAATAGTTTTGATTGTGTTAGGCTGCAATAACGACTGCCTCTAAAACAGCAATAATAAAAAAAAAGTATATTTACGGATTTTAATTACTTAAAAAGATGTTGCTACGATTATTCACCCATGTAATGTCCGCCGAGTCGCACGACACACATGAAGAGTGCATCAACATGACATGAGCCCCCATTTTCCTAAAACCAGTTGATTAAAAAATATCACCGGGTATAGCTGACATAATGTGACAAAGGGATGCTTCATTTCTCATTTCACTGCAGACCACGTGGTCCAAAAGTTCCCCGGAGAAACGACCGGCACTGTCACAGCATACTTACGTTGCAAATGCAACATGGACTTACGCCTAAAAAAAGCGCAAATAGAAAAATTAGCTACATTGTACGCCACGGAAAGTAGCGTTATCTAACTTGTCAATAATTATTTTAGCTAGTCATTTCTACTATATTTATCAATTGAACAGTCTACTTTTATTGCAAAGATAGCTTTTGTTTTCCCTGAGCTGTATTTGTTACCTTTATTGAAGAATAAAAGTGTACTGTAAAAAAACTGTTAGCACTATTCGGAAGCTGGGCGATCGAGGGCAATCGCACCAAGTGTTTAATGCTGCTGATGAAAAAGCATGCACATGACTTTGTT